TCTCGTAATTAAGGACCCCAAAAAAACGGGCAAAAATACCACCTTTTTTGGAGGTCACTCTTTAAAATAAATAAATTTTTGCATTCACAGCGCACGATTATCGCGTGTGATCGTTCGTCTCACCGAAAGCCGTGTCCAGATTCCCAACGTACGAGGTATCAATGGGATCTCGCGAAGTACTGACGGATTAAGAGGTACACGGTGTGCAAAATGCTCAATGCTCGCGATCCAATTGCGCACGGATGCATCTCGGCGGGATGCACGAAGCGGAAACGCGCGCGCGGCAGCGGCGAAGATCAAAGGACGTTCGCACGTTGCGCGGCGCGGCGCGCCGGCCGCCCTTCAGATTTCCGACGTGTTTCGTTTTCGAGGCGCGGCTAATGGACGTAACGCGCGTACGTTTTGCGTTTTACGTGTCCGTACGGGGCGATTCGCCGCGCGCGATTAAACCCACTCCGTTCCCTCCATGCGAGCGCGGCGCGTCGTAAATAATCGATATTAATCGCGTCGCGTTCTGCCTTGGTTTTGAATTCGCACCTCGGAAACGCGAACGCTCGATCGCCCGCCCTCGCCGTTCATTTCAGGTTTATCGCTCGACACTCGCCTGACTTAATACACATTGCGCACGACAAGCGTGTGTATAGACTCGTTGCATGTGCGCTTAGTATACCCTAGCTTGCTCGTAATCGTGTCTGCGGACGTATTGTACACGGTGATTCGCAAATCGCGTTCGGTGTAGTGCCTTTAAAAGGAAAGACTGCAAATTATTATTTGCTTTCAACGTTGTATAACGACCGTTTTAGTCTCAGACTGACCCGTTTTAATTTATTTAAAAATATTCATGAATTCTACTTACAAGTTTTTGTTTATGAATAATCATAACACAACAAACAGAAAAGTATTCATACTTTTCTAAAAAAAATTCTTTTTAATTCTTTTTATACTGCGCGTTTCGATCAAAGAACCTTTGCGGCTGGATTTATTTCTTCACTGTCAGCGCGGTGACAATTCAACGCAAAAGAGTCAATAACAAAGGCTTTTACATCATTCTGTACTTTTCGTAATACGTATGCAAGGGATTTCAGAAAGTTTTCTTTCAAATACAATGTCTACTTTCGATCAGATCAGATTTGTGATGTCTCTTCTAATCTAACTAAAGCAGATAGCTTGACAATTAAAATTCAGGTTGATAAAACTCTATGGAAGCTCTACTTAATAAAATTAATATTATAATATTGTAATATTATAAATAATATCATAAACATAATTAATTAATTAATTACATTAAGCGACACTTAGTATTATAATATAACTAATAAAGTTTTGTTAGTTATTCGCATCATTAAAATTTAATTTGCTAAGTTCACATGCCGTTTGACTGCATTCAACTTGAAAGCTAAATCACGAAGAAATCGCGAATCTTCCTGGTCCTGCTCGTCTCGGTCTCGGGAGATACACGATTGTGGGAAAGTGTGTGGATTCTGGGACGCCCTGTGTACTCGTTCCGGTAAACGACCGCACATACCGTATGTAATGTATACCGCATGTGATCCGCGGAAGGCCTATGCAGTAATCGTATCCGCGCACGTCCAGACTCAACATAATTACCATACGGACCTGCTACAGATTGCTTATTGTTCGCGTCGATTCTACCTTTTTTTTCCTCGGCAGGGGGAGAGGGGAGAGGAGGAGAGGGGATTCTCATCCCCTCGCCGACAAGGGATTAACGTTGCACGCGGGTGATGCACGAGTTATTGTACCTTCACGGACGTCAACGTCGACGAGCGACGCGCGGGCTCTTGAATCGTTTCGCCGCGCCGGACGATTTTATTCGTCGCAGCACGGTAAAAGCCCATTCGCAAGATAGCCGGGCCGCGTTTAACTACCCTCCCCCCTTCCCCCCGTGGTGAATAATCTCGGGGATTCATGTTAAATACTTTGCTTTTACTTTAGTCGATCGTTCTCGACGTTTAGTTGAGATAATAACTCGCGTAATTTTTTAAAAACTGGATGGATTTGTGATGCTACGGAAAAAAACAATTTATGAATTATGAACATCAGTCGCTGTTCGCGAACTTTTAGGAAAAATTGAATAAATTCGTATAAAAGCATGTCGAATTCCAGAGACGAATTCATTTCACTAGAATTCATTTCGACATTGTCACGATACAAAAATGAGGTATTGTACATTATTGTACTTTCCTATAATTAACTCTATGCAGTATTATAAAATGTTATATACTTGTTCCGGCAAAAAAAGCGGACGCTTTTTTATTTCGGTGCGGCAAAACATTCGCGCGCGAGACAGAGAAGATAACCGCAATACGGCACGGCACGGCTAATTTTTCGCATTTCTACGCTTTGTGTCCGCTTCCACTGTTAAAGCGGGAATTTAATAACCCCGCTGCGGAAATTTTTATGCGCCGCAGTTACTCCGCTATTAAAACAGGAGTAATTAGCACTTGTTCCGCGCGCGTACCGCAGAGAAATTCGAGATAAGGGAACAGAGAAATTTGCAGAGATTCGCGTTCTTTCGTTTCTGACGCATGAAGATATCCCGGAAAATAGTCAACTTTAATAATCCTAAAGTACTTGTTTACAAAAAATAAAAACCAAATATAATTACGTAATGTAATTATATGAGAAAGAGAGAAAAGGATTGCAGAGAAAAATGTGTGTTGTGTGTGTGTGTGTGTGTGCAGCGTGTGCAGCGTGTGCAGCGTGTGCAGCGTGTGTGTGTGTGTGTGTGTGTTCGTATATATCAATTTTTAAATTTCATAATATTTTCATGGATCTGTGGACTTACTTTAAACTGCAAAAAACTTGGCATAAAATCATTATATGCTATAAGCAAGATTTACACAATGTTTTTTTTTTACTAGCAATTAGCGACGTGCTCTTCTTCTAGCGAATATGAAAACTAACAGCTAAAAAATATAGTTCTATAAATTATATATTTTTTTAGAAAACTAGCAGTTAAGAAAATATAATTCATAGAATTATATTTTAATTTAGCTGTTAATTTTTTAGTTTGCAGAAAGATTAGCACGCCATCAGTAAAAAAGCATAGTGTAAATTTTACTACAATGACACAAAACGAACCGAAAAACCTACTTTTCTATACTCCTTTTTCTAGAAATAAAACTTCACTTAACTCTTTATTTTTCACCTGTTACAGCTCTTTTGTTTTCGATTAACGCGGACAACGCGCGGGAGTAAAGATTTGAAAAACGGATTCCACGCGGAAGCTGCACGGTTCGAGAAAAGAATCCGAGAGACGGAGAATCGCGCGTTTGTTTTCTCGAGAAAACCGACGCGGAAACGCGCGACGGTGCACTTGCCTGATCGAAACACCCGGTAATTATGCAACGGCATCGGCATGCGCGCGGTATATAAAGGGAGAGACGGCCGTGGATAACAAGGGACCCTGTGCCCGGAGCGTCGAAGGTAACGAGAGCGAGGATTGATGTCCCGTTCTGGCGGGCTTGCGCGCGCGTTGCGCACACATCGAGAGAATTATTACGAGAGAGGTGTCCGCGTTAAAATAAACCACACGACATACCTATACCCGCGCGGCGGTGTAATCGGGGAAAAGAGAGGCGTCCCGTCATTAAGATGACGAGTTATCGAAGGGTCTTATTTCGCGCGAGAATAGACGTTTTCTCGCTCGTCCGGTCTTGTCGCTTCGTCCCCGTTTAAAATTAATCCGCAAAATGCACCGCGGCTCAAATTGCACGCTATCATTACGCGGTATCGTGCGGATCGATCTTGAACGGCGCTAGACTCCACGACTTAATAAGAACCTGTCAATCCGAGATAAAATTGTTTACTCATGTAATGTAAGAACTAAGAACGAAAGAGGCGGCTTTTCTCTTCGCGCTCGAATGAGTTTTCAGAATGAATTTTAGAAAAATTAATTTAAATATTTTTGCCATATTTTTTTCAATTCTTCATTTTTGTAACTTTCGATCTGTTCAGTTTTCTATTTTTTATTCCTGATCTATCAGAGTTTATTATTCCTGTCACTTTTGAATAGTACTTCTAAATCTTCTGGAAACTTCCTACTACTCTGCTAATCACCCATATTTGTATATATCTGATTTCAGTTTAACAGAAATTCATATAACTCTTAAAAGATTAAGAGATAGAATAACTACTGTAAACGTTTGCTTTCACGTCTAATCGCTACCCTCAACGGCGCTTATAAATTCATCAATGCCACCTGTGCGTTCTATAACGACCGAGTATCTCCCGTTTTGCATACCAGCGCCTAATTATATCGTAACTCACTCGCGTGCAGCGAGTTACTCCCGATGTATCTTCCGCGAGCGCGCGCTTCATATTTTGCACGCAGAAAGCGCGCTTTCAAGCGGTATCTCAGGCCTGCGTGTTATTCAAATGTGGAGCTCGATGCCACACAGGATGTCCGGCTCGAATGTATTCTCAACGCGAGTATCTTGAATAATTTATAGTATCTCGTCTTTTATCTTCGAAAAGTTTAACGTCATTGGATTCTTCGAACTTGGCTTGAAGAATGTTCGACACGCGTTGATCGTCGAATGTTTATGAAACGCCTAAACTTTTAAGACATTCAAAGACAAGTAAATGTTCGAATTTCAAGATTCTCCAGAATCGGAAAAATTTTAAACGCCTGTATTTTTTTAATCCCATTCGCGATATTCTTCACATTTTTGCTGATGCTTTGCTGACCTTTGTACTTTCTAATTCTGACATAATCGCGAATTAGAGAACGATAAGCCTCGATACGCTGAATTCACACCAATTAAAGCTCAACACATGAGTCATGCCCGCTCTAAATTATACGTTCAGGTATAACTTTTGCATCGTATAGCCACTTCGTCATGCTTCTTAAAAATTTAATACACATATCCTATTTCTTTGCGCATGTGTTGCATTATCTCTTCATTATACCATGCGCCTGTGTGCTGATATGAAATTTCACACGAGCATAAATAAATTTGAATAATAGCGCTACTTACCTCAAATCCAGCCTGATCACGGCGGCTCGCCGGCGACCTCGTCGATGCGGAAGATCTCCGGGTCGTCCGGGAAAGATGCACGGCGGCGGCGGGTCATCCTCCGATTTTCGTGAACGGTCCATGGAAGATTTGCTCCGAGGCTCAGGCCATCCTGTGTGCGCGAAACATGAAGTCATTAACAGGGCAAGTGGTTATACAGGCAGCGTAAGAGGGACGCCAGGCAACACGCACAAATCACGATGCCCCGTAAAAGGCGAGACGCGCGAGAGGGACGCGAGACGAGACGAGAGGGCCGACTCTCGATCGCCTTAACTTTCAGAAGGTTAGGCTTCCCGTTTCTTTTTTTTTTCCTCATCCAAACGTCGCGACCAAGCTTTAATGCGCCATCCGTCGTCGCGCTGGCGCTTATTAGATTCGCTCTGAATTCCTCTTAAAGCTCCACGACACGCCTCGGAAACACTAACGGCTCGGAGAGCCGACCATTCAGCAATTATTTCGACACCGACGCGTGTCGCAAATATACGTGTATGTATGTCGACGTATAAAAAATTAGAGCAAGCGCGTTTGGTATGTCTCTCTTCTAAGACTGGTAATAATGTGTATCCACTTTGTGGAACGTTATATAATTAAAGAGCGTGAAGTAAATTGATTTCAAATAATTGGCCTTATTATTTATTCTTTTACTTTTCTACGCAATTTAAAACGATTATTTTACGTATCGTAAGCTAGTTAGCAAAGGCATCCAGTTAATCAAAATTAATGATTTCTGCAACAAGTCAAGTGCGATAATTATTTATAATCACGTTGTGTTAAAGAGATAGATAACGCTTATTGATCCGGAAATTGCATCACTGTCAAAGATTGCAACAGACAGATGAATGTTATCTACATTAAGAGGATAATTCTGGTAAGTAATTTTCTACATGTGTTAACAGTATCGACAATCACATCAAATTTCAACGAAGCCAGAGTAATTACCGCAATGTCATTTCCTCTCACATGCTATAAGACGAAATTTTTTAATATAATGTTTATATGTATACTATAACTTTCTAAAAAAATCCCCGTAATAATTAAATTAACAATTAAATGTGAAATGTACATTATACGATAATATTACAATGAATATCGTTTGCCGATGCAATTCTAATCATTTTCGCCGCGAATGTTTTGCGATACTCTCGATTCTATTTTAGCCAACGATTCTGTTTTAACGGGAAAACTGCGATTACACGCGCAATATGCGCGCGAGAGAAAGAGCACTCGTAGAAGAATCGTTTGGATAAGAGCTATGTAGTGGCACAATTTATGGTGTTGATATATTAAGTCGCTATCTGACGGATATATAAAGAGGTGTCTATGTCGCGGTTTTCTAGTCGCAAGACAACATGCGAGAGGACCCGTTGTGTGAACAGCTGCGACGAATATGCGAGCGTGCGGAGAGAAGCACGGCCCTATAATAAATTACAGGAAAAATCGACGCGTAAATTCGTCCCTAGAGTCTCCTCCGACGTCTCGCGGCGTCGCCTTTTCGCCGACGCGTTTGACGTCTACCGACTCTTTGTCCACCAGACAGTCTTTGAATACGTGAACACATTCGAAGATGCATACACATGATTAGCACAAGCGTTATGTCGATCACCGAGAAAAAAAACTATATATGCCGTAAGTATAGAATATTATTTTAAAAAACGAATATATCAAATTTCTCTCTTATAGATAGATAGATAGATAGATAGAAACATCCCGAGAGCTAATATAACATTCATATCTATTTTCGATGTGTCACGTACCTAATTATTCGAAAAAATATTTTATGTGAATTAATATTTTTCATATAGTATCCAGACAGACAGATATCTTTATAAACAAATATAAATTTTTTTACGTCTTTCATCAATACATTAACAATTTAAAAAATGCTATTATAAGTGTATTTTTTTCAAAGCTTTATCATTATATATAACCGCAAGATTTTAGAAGTCTCGTGTATCGTAGATAGCATCCGTAGAAATTCGTTGAAAAGAATTTTAGTGTAACTTCTTTGCGCGGAGCAAATTATTAAGTGAAATACATGTAAAAACTATGTACTCGTGCGTGGCTGGATTGTCAATTGGATCGAACGGGTGATTGAATCTTAGATCCGAGTCAAAATTAAGTTCCGATTTATTAATTTTGTGACACGAAGAGGGCACGTCTACTCGCGTCGAAAACAGCCAGACAAGTCGCGACTTGTCGTTATCCGCGCGGTCGCCAGACCTGTTACCTCTAACCTTGCTTTGTTTGTTGTCGTGTTCATAATTGACATTTTAAACGTATGACTTGCGACCTGTATCTCTAACGGCCTAATCGTCTCTGTTTTCTCGACGCCTTTTTATTGACCTTTTTTTTTCTTTTTCTCTCTCGCGACCTAAAGCTGATCCTTCTGTGTAACGTCTATATCCGCGTTCTTTATTTTGTTTTTCACCAACTAAATTTTATGTTTTACGCAGACTAATTATTCGGGGCGATGCAATCGCCACAGAATGATTAAATATAAAATGCAAGCGGACAAACAAGGATTAGGCAAAAAATTCAATATAGTACTCCATTTCGAAGTAACGCTTCGTCACTCACCGTCGTGCCTGCTCGCCTAATCCCACTCGGCAGGAGCGGCAGCAGGTGGATCCTCCGTCTCGGCCCACGTGGCACACATGTCCCGTATAAAATCCTCGCGCACCCCCGCGCGCAAAAGGGGGTTGCACGTTGCCGGTCTCGATTCAAAAGTACACGCAACCACAACAATTGCTCTCTCCCCCTCGAGGAGGGGACGCGACGGGTGAGAAACCGCACCACTTTGTTGATCGTGAAGATATGCGGATGTCGGAGGGTTGCGACACACGAGAGGGAGAGACGCGAAGATGTTGTACGCTCGAGAAATGAATCGCGCGGCTTCCGGCCTCCGCGTGAAACTCCGCGGCAAGGAAGGACGGCCGGGCGTGTGTGTGGCGCGTACGAACGCCGCCGCGACAGGAGTGATAGTGGCGAAAGTGGGAGACCCTCCGGGAAATATATAGGTCCGCGGGGTGGTGTGGTGGTGGTGGTGGTGGACCACACGAGCGAGAGAAGGGGAGAGGAGACCCGCGCCGCGCACGCATCCCCCTACGCGCGTCGCGCTGCGCCGCGTATCCCGCAGGATGGGATGTACGGCAATAATTCGGCGTTTAACCCGCGACTGCTCGCGTTGCCGATCAATCGCGTCTGGCTTATAGATAAGAAGACAAAATATATGTATAACAAACATCCCGTCTATTTACGAGTATAAGTTTATTATTTACGACCTGAGTTTCTGTCGAAAAATATCTTAATATGAGATCTAGACTGTGGCCTTCACATACGTTCAAGTGTGTCACTTGAATACTGTTTCTTTGATCAGTATCAATTCCGAGCGATAACATAATAAATGCTTTTTCGCGCTGAGAAAAGAAAGAGGTCTAAGGAAGAATTTTCATGGTTTTATAAAAAACAGATTTAATTAAATATTTAAAAATTAATTAATATTAATTAATAATAATTAATAATTACTTTAAATGTACTTTAGATTATTAGCTATTTTATATGCACGTTTCAGTTTGCAAATTAATTGTTTGAGATTGCAGAAAAGTCAAATGAATTCATAGCCACATGTTATATTTTAATTATCTTAAAAGCATTTCTTTTGAAAATATTGTTTTATATTTCGCAAATTTATACCTTTAAACTTTAAACATAAAATTGTATCGTGATTTCCTTCTCTTTCTCTCCTCACTCTTTCTCTTTTCTCTCGCATCTCTATCTCAGAAGGGCCATTCAAAATGAAAGCAACCGGAACAGTGCAAACGATTTCAACACAAAAGCAGAGGCGCCCCGTTGACTACGTTATCAGCCATTATCGCACCCATTTTCCCGTTGAATCTCATCTAGATAATCGGAAGCATTGTTTAAAATGGCGTTATCTGCGTGCTAAATACACCGACGGAAATCCCGACGTGCCCCTTTTCCTTTCTCGCGCGCCCTTCGCTCCAAGGTTCAACGAACTGTAATTGTGGTACGGAGACGAAGCCGTAAAATTCTACCTACGAGATTAGACTTGTGGCTTTTCCTTTATCATCCCGGTGGAACGTTGCAGCGCGTCGTCGGCGACGCGACGTTCCCGTTTTATCTCTTCCCGTTTTTCCGTTCGCCCTTTTTCGCCCCCTTTCTTCTTCGAGCCCCTCGTCGCGAGTCATCCGCGAGTTTTTTTTATATCAGCGCGACGGATCGCGTGTAAAATGCCGAGACGAATCGCGACGGGGCTCGGAGAACTGCAAGTGTCTTATAACGTGCTAGCTTGTGCGATACAATGTGATGCAGAACCAATTACGTTGGGCGATTAAGTCCGGTAATTAACCCACTGGCAATCAACGTTCACTATGATGGGCATAGCTCTTTTTTACTTGCAATGCTTAAACGCTACAATGCTTTAAACACGATACAATTTGTCTCAACAATTTGTAAAAAATTAATTTCCTGCCTATACTAAATAAACATTCGAGGAATAAAACGTATCATAAATGACATGACAAAATTTGTTTAAAAAATGTAAAAAAAAACACAAATTTAAAACATAGATTTGTAGATATTTATATCATTCTAACATTCAAGATGGATAACTTTTAGCTTGACCAAAATAGGAAAATATAAAAATAAAAAATTTAGAAACTGCAGAAAATATTCAGTTATATATTTGCGTTAACAACTGAATTCAGTATACGATTGCACTCTTCTTATACTTAAGAGCAACGCAACTAAATAAATACGCGACCCACGGTAATAATTCGAGGAACGCTTCAAGCATTTATTTATTTTCCGTCAAACATAACGATCCAGTCAGTGATGTCAGCCTGAAGCGCATTGAGCTTTTTTATTTGCCGCGTAACGGACTGCAGCGCGCTACTGCATTTTACAACTAGAAGCTTCCAGAATTGCGGATCGTAAAACAATGCGCCTTATGCAACGCGCAATAGGTATTTAACCGTCCGTACGAAACAGAAAATGAACTGCGAAGAGCATAAAATCGATTACGCAATCTTCGAATTTAAATGTCATCGCTATCTTCTCCCGGTGTGAAATGTATAGGTTATAATTTTCGTA